TGGACTGGTGCTACAATGTAGATGGATCCAAGTTTGAATGTTGCGATATTGTTCTCCCATATATCTAATGACATGGTTGCGGTGTTGTCTGCAATCAGTGCTTGGCAGAGTCTCAGTTTCTTTGATCCGACAATTGTGGTATCCTTTATTTGTGTAATCTTTCCTTTGATGGTAACAGTGTCCCATTGATTATGTTTGTTAAGTACGTCGATAATCGGGACTGGTGTTGTGTCCTAGTGCTGCGGCAAGTCTGCGTATTGGAAGTCGTGTTCACTTGGCTTTGGAGTGGTGACGAAGGTCATGTCATTTATGACAATTTTTTTGCCGTCCGCGGTGTCGACACCGCTAGCACTGGAAATGAGTTGGTCTAGATCGTTCAGTCTCTTTTAGAGATCTCTCTCTTTTCTACGAATATTTGCTTTACTTTTTGCATAACGGATTGTAAGACCTCTCAGCTCCATTTTAACTAATTCCCATTTAAGCCTTTTATCCTCTTGTCTAGAATATTTTTCACTAATGGAAGAATAATTTTCTCTAATTAAAGCAACATAACCTTCGTCAACCAAGAGAGAGTTATTAAATTTCCATAATCCTGGGCCTCTTTTGTTGTTAGGGCTATTTAATTTGAGTATTACTACCTTATGGTCTGGGGCGTTAGAAACCACAGTTTCTATCTGCTCGACCCAACTGATTTGATATTGCGGCATTAGAAAGAAGTCAATGCGCGAACAAAGTTTAAGCGCTTTTGAATCGTAGGTGTAGCTTTTATTTTTTGGATATTTCTCTCTGAAAACATCTACCAAGTCAAATTCCCTCATCATGGTCATCAACAGGTCCCTAAAGACGGTGGGTTTCCAGGGGTTTCCGCCCTTTTTGTCAATAGCATGCACTGAAACGTTCCAATCACCTCCTATTTTCAATATCTGTGTTAGACATCAAATATGTATTTAAACTATGTATAAATTCTTGCTGTTGTCGCAGGTCATTTGGGGCATACACATTGCAGAAAGAGAGATTTGAATTGAAATTCAAATCGATCGAGATGATTCTTCCAATTTGGTCTTTGTGAATGTTTTTAACGATGGAGTTCAGTGAAGGATTCAATAGAACGCAAACACCTCTACTGTGTATTGATCCATGTGAAAAGAACATGTCACCTCCCCACTCACTATTCCAAATATTTTCATCGTTCGGTTCAGAGTGCGTCTCTTGTAGAAAAAATACATCACAATTTCGATCTTTTAAAAAACAGAAAATACTTCTCCTTTTTACGCGATTTCTTAAACCTCTAACATTTAGCGAAATCACGTTACATTTGCCTAGTGCGATCATGGTTTGATCTTGTAGAAAACATTATAGTAAAGGAAGTTATAAAGTAAAACGTTATCACTGACTCATATATGTAAATTGCCGAAAACTTGTAAACAAAAACATAACACAACAAACACAAAATAGAATCACGGCACATATTTACGATATGAACTGTTTGCATGCAGCCCAGAAGAGTCATTTAGCATGTCCTATCCTCACAGATTTCTGGTTGGGTAGAGTCGAGTTTGGTGGTGAAATTACCGTAGCGACATAGGTGGCTTACAAATAAAATTACAGATTGTTCCGGTCTTCTTCACAGTAAATTCTTGTGGGAGTACCACTTGGAGATGTTTTAACATAAAGCTTACCGTCTAAAGAGCAGGCACTTTGAATCGTCCCCTCTCTCTTCATCTGGTTAGCTTTCTTCATGATCTTTCTCCTTTCTTGAGTTAAATTTTCATTGATGAAAATTCGCGTGGATTGTGCAACATCAGCAACCGAGCAGGCGGAGAACAGATCTGAGATCTTTACATTATTAAGTTCGGTTCGCTTCCTATAAAGCTGGGCCTTCATTTTATAGTTTTATAGTTGGGTGATACTAATTTAACATACCAGTTTATGAACAGTGTGCCAAACACCTCATCTATTATGAATTTGTGTAAGAATATTACAATAAAGTGTTCTTCTGGTGTGGAAGTGAACACTATTATTCAAAATATGTGTTCTTATTATCCAACTACAGCGAATACCGTCCAAATAACAGTACAAGTATACAGCGATATTGCACAGTTATTTGTACAGTAGAAAACCTGTTTGCCGTACAGGTCGGTTCGCGCACGCAAAACTGTCACACTCTCCCTCTTTCATTGATAAATTTATTGACTACAGTAGTTGTATAATAAATCTCTTATTAGATGTTTTGGTGTGTATTATCGCTTTATATTTTTACTCGTTGTACAGCACAACTCGTAAAAATATACAGCGATACTACATAGCAAAACATCTAATAAGATATATGTCATGAAAATCAACAAAAATAAATTGAGCTTCAAGAGTAATATTTATTCCCAAAATCTATGTAGCTGCATAAGCTCAGTGATAGATTCCATGCAAATATTAGATGTATTCTGGAAATTATTGCAATAACTGTTTAAAAGGAGGTTTGTTTCCTGGAGATGCCAATGGAGACTTAGCCTGGGGTTGCTTAAGCGAAAGACTTGCAAATTTAAGCCTTAAATTCCGTAGGATGATCGTGGCACCGGCAGTGGTGATTTTTTTTTTTCAAGACTGTTTCACATCAGCTCTATAAAACTGAAGATTTGCACTTGCAAATTCGCATGGCTGGAATTGAGTCCAGGACATCATGTTCAGAGTATGGTGGATGATACTTGCCAAATTACACACAGCAAATGTCAAAACCAGGATCGTGGTATGACAATATAATTATACAAGCAGTATCCAATGCTTTTAACTGTACTGACTTGAACGCACTCAGTTAATCCATGATTATTATGTTGGTGCTTTCTGTTTTCTCGTAGGCTTGGCATGGGTATGCAAGTGGACAGCAAGTGGTTCACTGCTTGCTTATCAAGGTCACGGCATTTCCGAATGGAAAAATGACGCGCAGTTTTTCCACTTCATCATCAACAAGAATGGACACGTGCTTGATAGGGTTGACTACAAGCACTGTGTCCCCAAAGGTGCAATCAGTAGTGTAAATGGAAAGAAAGTAGTATTCTGTGACGGCACAGAGGAGGAGGTAGATGTTATCATCCAATGCACAGGTTACAAAGCAGAATTTCCCATGCTTCCGTCGGAGATTAGCACAGTACCTCTCACCCATAATTACAAATACTTGTTTAACGTCGAGGACCCAACGCTGGCCTTTATCGGCTACGTTCGGCCGGTGCTCGGTTCATTCATTACACTAGCCGAAATTCAATCCTTATTCACAGCGAAAGTTTTCTCGGGCCAGTGTGAGCTGCCTTCCAGAGACGAAAGACAGAAAACGACTTTGAAGGACAAGCTATTCTGGGATGACTACTTCAAATATTCCTCTCGAAGATTGTCGACACTGGTCGAGGCTTACACTTACGGCGACGACCTCCTTAAAATATCTGGCGTCTTTCCCGATTACTGGGAATTGTTTAAACGAAATCCCCGTGGAGCAATGACGGCGTTGTTCGCTCCATATGATGGGTGTTCAATGCGTCTCAACGACCCACAACGCCAAGAGAAGGTGTTACAACACCTGAGTAAAGTATCGTCCGGTACCTTCACTCCAACACATCTGCTACTAATCCTATTCATGCGTTTCGTCTGGTTCGACTTCTGGCTTGATGTCCTTGGCAAGATCAAGTACAGAATTCAATGTGCAGGATGGTGGAAGAGAATCCGAGATTCACGAGGCGTGCGCTTCTTAGACTGGTGCTGGCAGACGCCCAAGAGATGGTTGTTTGATACTAAAACAAGAGCCTAACAATTTTCTCTCATTTGCGGCCGTTGTTTAGGGTGTCACTCAAGTTTCCTCCCCGAACAACTGTTGTTTGTTGACTGAAAGAGCTGCTGAGAATACTTTAGAGGCGTCCAAGATATACAGCTTGTAAACTCAATTTCATAACTACAACATGTTAAAGGCCACGACTTGAAGTGTAATCACGACTTTGTTTAGCGGTGATGATTTACTGTCCTAACCTTTATACACATATTAATTATATATTGATTACCTATTTCTTGTAACCATTATAAACCAAAACCATAACACACGCCGATAACAAACTGATAGTTCTAACTTGTTGAAAAGAATTAATATCAAACCAGAATAAAATAATATAATGCCTGATAAGGGTGATATAAAACAAACAGCTCAGTTTTGTAGAGCCTGTCGCATCTACCAATTCCGTTGCTACATTTGGAGATTCGCTACTCTCGGGTAATCGTTACTTTAGAAAGTTTAAGGTATTTGAATTTAGCTTAAAAATTAACACAAGGAATAGGGAATCTGCCACTGCCAATCGATGCGTTTTATAGGTGTGTGTATATAAATATGAGGATGTTCTGGCGCTGATCAGTAGGATTTGAACCTACAAAACCTCTGAAATTGATCTTCTGTTTCTATACAGACTGATATACAAGGCTGGAGCGGCTCGTGGATACAACACTCGATGATTTCTCTGTTATTTCATTTAGTTAAAATTCAGTTGTTTCTAATCTGTATATTAAGAATCGGTACCGCTACCAAAGAAACGGTTTTTGTCACAACTGAATACAACTGTGAAGTAGTTAAAATGGTTAAATAATTAAAGACGCTTAGCATGCAGTACTTAAACAAGGGATCGTTTAACAACAATAAATCACGTTTCATATTTTGAGAGTTACATGATTTCCTCAAGTTGAGAATCTGCTTTAGAAAAAGTTCTCTTTCTAAATTTCTACAATGTATATGTCTAAAAGCTACCATTGTTTAACAAATGATGCTACAATAATGGTATCGCAAAAATTTATGCCCAATCAAAGATTTATAACAGGTTACCATAGCAACAATACAGCCTGTTAAAAATACCCTTAATTTTAGCTTTAAGGTGGCTTACTACAATTCTGATGGATTAAAAGAGTGCAACTTTTATTACCTCTTATGAAAGATGTTTTTCCTTTCTCTAATAATTACTTTCTTTAGTATTTTACCAATATACGTGATACTCTAACAATTTAAATGCTAACAAATAGCCAAATAATAGCTAATAAACAGCATAGGAGAGACTGGGCACGAGGTCTAATCACGTTTTTCTCAAATTCTACCCTTGTGACCCCACCTTAACAATTGGCTCTGTGTTAATCATTTATGCAAAGTAAAATAGAAATCTGTAAAGCAGATTTTTCGAAAACAAAGAAAATGTGAGATTTTGCCTCTTTCAAAAACAGCTCAAAATCTGTCTCAGACTTTTTTTTAAAATTTTAGCTCTGAACGCGATTCACTCCTACATATCAACTGTGAAAATTTCATCATGGGTTATACGGTCGGTTTTCGCGGACAAATCGTGGATCAAAGACAAGTTTTTACAACCTTGCGCGGGAATTGAATTACGCATGCCCTTTACTAAAGCGCGCGCTCATGTGAGGCTATGTATCAGGTGCGAGAAAGCAAGAGTAAATTAGAACTCTTTACCAATGGTTTATCTTTCTTTTTATGTCATATTTTATCGATCCAAAACTTAAACGCATGTTTGAAAGCAGTTTTACACTATTGCTACGTACACCAAAGTGGTTTAACGCGATTCAAGTGCTGAGGTTGTTTTCGTTTCTTCGTACGGTTACTTGCGTCATTTTTTTGCTCGCGCGACTAATACTGACGTCTGGCAGGCAATCGTAGCACGCGCTATCTAGTGTCAGACAAACTGTAGTAATCCATCTTAAGCGCTTGTAACTCAAAAACGAGCTCGGTGACCCCCATTTTTATTATCGAATTGTGATAAGCATGATAAGATGCAACTTTTTACAGGGTTTAAAGAAATTCTCTGGAGAGAGTTCAGAGCCACCTTAAATTTCGAAAATTTAAGGTGGCTCTGGACCCCCACCAAACAAAAAGTTTAATGAGTAGAACAATAGCTGTGCTCGTCCGTTATAAATCTTTGTACATTTCTTTGCCGCCCTCTGCACAAGTTCTGCGTATTTTGGAGAATGCGAACACCGGTGGCTAATTTGTCATAGTTTCATTTGTAATTGAACACTGGCGTTATTTAGCTTGAGCAAGTTGTGAGATCAACAGACGCTCTGAACAGATCTAGACAATTGCAAAATTCGAAGGTAAAATATCATCAATCGTAAGTGAAATCACATGTTGCAAAGTACAATGTACAATGTAGCAAACAAGATGACAACTGGCGAACTACTCAATTCACTTTACAGTTAGTACCTTACCACTGACTTTTTAAAATAATGTCTGAAAATTCATTGCCTTGTCATTTGAACCAGTTACCATCGACAGAACGCTCTTGTAAGTAAGCCTTTACAGCCAGGCTGTGTGAATGTTTCTCAAGTCTTGTGTAGTGTACTTTGTGATCTAGATAGACCATCAGTCCACACGTAGCTACATATGAAGTATCACCTTCCAGGGTAATCTGTTCCGGGTGTGTCTCCAAGGCTCGAGCTATTGTCCCTTGTATTAGGATACTCATGGTAGCCCAGTTTTCCAAATTCCTCCTTTACCATGAGCTGCCTGCGAAATCAACAAAACATTTATGTTCTACGTAGCTAACTGCTTATTGGGATGGAGTTCCTTAACACTACAAATATGGACTTATTGCCACTTATACTCAGCTGGAAGCAATTATTTATTTTACTTTATTTTATTTTAGAGAAGGTCACATCAAAAAACGTATATTTTTTTGTCACGCTAATAAAAACCTTGCACTAAGTTTAGCCACTCGCCGAAGTTCCAGCCTCTAAAGTACAGGTTTTCCTTATGAAATTCGTCTCCAAAGAAGCCCAAAATTCGAATATCGTTGCCGCCATTTTGAACAGTACTCAGCAGCCAGGCCGCGTTTTCATGACGTCATTCCGTCCGAGAGATTTTGTCTAAATGGTTTCCGACAAGCCTTTTAACTACCACTCTGGTCACTCTGGGTTATGGCTGCTCTTGAGCCATATTATTTTGAGCCAAACATTGCCCAAACTCCGAAATAGCAGCGTCGAAGTTAGTGAAGTGGATAATCGCTTGGAAAAAATACATTTTGCTGACCTTGTGAAGGATGCCAAGTAAGTTGCAGGTTTTTCCTCTTCCCGCCAATTTCGAGTCGGACGGAATACCGTCACATAAACACAGCCTGGCTGCCAAGACAGTTTCAAAATGGCGGCCTCCAAAGCCGCTTCTTTCGAGACGAATTTCTGCAGGATAGCGGGCACTTCAGAGGCTGAAACTTCGGTGAGTGGAAAAACCGAATATTAACTTGCTATATGCGAAGACAAAAAAGGAAGCTTTTTGGAGTGATCTTCTCCTATAAGGAATGTTCGCACAAAAAATGTCAAACAGAGTTTTTCCAAACTTTTACAATGGTCGGATAATATTTACCCCTATTCTTGTGTGAGAAATTCAAGAAAACATGGGGTTTGTTACCGACTTGGTTCCAGTGATAAAGGGGGTAGAAACATACCAACATTTTCAAACATTGGCACAAGGAATGTACGCCAAGTCTCCAAGGTTAAAAGACTTTTTATTGAAGTGAATAGAGGCAAACAGTCTTGTCGTATTTTATTTAACGGGGGCTGTTGTGTTAAAAGACTCCAAATATTGTCTTGCGGCTTGTGTTCCCACAACATTTCTCGTTCTCTCAAACTTCCACTCGTGTTTCTATTAAACAATTAGATTATGAGCTCGAGATCTCTATCACACAGAGAAATCGAGAGCGAATAATCTAATTGTTTTCGTATAAGTCTACTAGTCGTTCAAAACTTCAAAACGTCGTTCAAACGTGTTCTCTTCACAGACACTTCGAAAACGCCAAGAAGCGGCCGTTATTTTGTTAGCAAGGGCACACTGCTACGCTACTCACTATCTATCACAGATTAGTATCACCCAACTAGTGGACTAATGCAAATCCTGCATTTTGATTGGCTACG